AATGTTGCTATATTTGTATTAACTAAAGCCAATACTTGTATTCAGTTTTCTTAGTTTTTACCTAATGCCTTTTTCTGTTCCAGGATCTCATGCAGGATACCATAGAGAGACTGAATACCCAGTGGGTAATGACAGACCATATATAAAAACAGAGCTGTTACCCAAAACCTGTAGCAACCGGTCTAGGAAGCTAAACAACAAGCCCTATAGCAATTGGTCCCACGTGGCCAGAACCTAATAATAAACAGCTTCCCTAATTTTTGCTGCAGCTTCCAACCGAGGAAAAACTAAAGAAAGTCGTTTAAGTCCCAGGTACTTAGGAGGCACTTGAGTGGTCAACCAATCTCTGTTGAATGAATGAATGTACCCGTAACCCTGCTTCTGTTTGGCCCACCTACAGCTTCCCCATGATAAAAGCCTCCAATCTGAAGCTTCTCTTTTTCCCACTCTGCAGCTTTTCCACTGCTCTGAGTCTCTGCCTTTGGGTTTCCACCAAATGCAAGTGATGGTGGCTACTCCTCTGCATAGCAAGGTCCAAATAGCCTCTTCTAGCTCTAATTTGGGTACTCTTTGTTTCTTTCCATGGCAGAGTACATTTAGCTGTCATTGTCTCCTTAGGCTCCTCTTGGCTATGAGAGTTTCTCAGGCTTCTCTTGTTTTTGATGACCATGACAGTTTTGAGGAATACTGGCCAGATATACCATATAAAATCCCTCTATTCTCATGATTACACTGGGATTATGGTTTTGAAGGAGGAAGACCACCGAGGAAAAGTGTCATTTTCATTACTTTTTATCAAAAGTAATGAAACATTCTCTCAACGTGACTTAGTACTGGTGGTGTTGGACTTGAGCCAAGGTGTTTTTTATCAGAGCAACTGGAAAAGTATAGTTGCCATTTACTGAGTAGGAAGAGTACAAGTGGGGCAGGATAGTTTGGGGAAACACTGAGAGTTTTAATTAGTCTTCTGCTTAGACACCAAAGTGAAGCTATTAAACAGTTATAGAGTTTAGGAGAGAAGTTATGGTTGGACATATAGAGATGGAAGTCATTAGCATACAGGGGTTGTTTAAGGCTGTGGACTGGTGAAGATCACTGGGAGCTTGAAAAGGAGTACAAGTACTACCTACTGGATCATTTCAACAGGAATTTTTACTACAAATAAGGATAGTTGTGTTTTTTCCATGTTTAAATTTTTTTTAGCTCTTTTTACATTGTTACTTCAAATGAAAGGCTTCTATCTCACTACTTAAGTGTGTTGGCTATGTTATTTTTTACATGTCCATTATCAGGTTAATGATTGCTTCTATTCCTAGTTTAACAAGAGTTATGAATAAGAGTTCAATTTTATCAAATTTTTTACCTGCATCTACTAGTATTATCAGATTCCTTTTCTTCATAAATTTGTTAAATCACCAATACATTTTTCTGAAGTGGGACCACCCTTCCATTCCTGGGGGGAAAACAACGCTACTTAGTCACAATGTGTGTCATCAGTCATCATTGTCATCACCATTATCATCTATCCCCCAATTCAATTTTCTAACATTTCATCTAGAATTTTTCTTTTCTTTTCTTTTCTTTTTGTTTGCAGGGCTAGCTCTGAGGTAGTGTGCCCAGAGTCAGCCTTTTAATCTGTGTTGACAAGGAAGAATGTCTTATTTTCTTTTGTCTAGTTAGGAAGCTAACCATAATGAACGCTCACTACAGAAATCATTTAACTATCCCACACTCATCAGGGGAGGAAATTAAATCTCAGAGAAGGTAACCCTCAGACAAGAGTTGCTTTGTTAATTAGTGGCAGAAGCTGTGCTAGATTCCTAATCTAGTGTATTTTCCACCTGACCCTGCTGACCTGCTTAGAAGCAGGTCTATGAGATAGGAAACAGAAGGACACCAAATGGCTGTTCCCATGCAGTTGGTTTGATTGGTGAGTTACATAAATTGGACTCATTCACCTCACAGGTTCTCTTGTCAAAATTTCACTTCTAAGCGTTAAAGAAATGCTGAATTGCCAAAAGAAAAAGCACATGGCCCTGAGCTTTAAATATTGCTTGAAAATGAAGGTGCCTGTAGGAACAATTGTGTTATGTTTCCCTTTCTAAACTATCATAAAAATTAAAAGGGAAAAGTGGAATGTTCTGTAAATTAAAAGTCTTGAGAAACACTACTACAGATATTAATATTTAGGAGTTATCATGCATTGAGAGTTATTGCTTGAAGTTATGCCAACTTTTAATTTTGTAAAAACACAAAATTCTATAAAATAATTAGAATACTTTGTAATATGTTATTGCATATTAACAGGGATTCCTTGGCCAGAGAACTAATTTTAGTGGCATGGTTTCTTATTCAAAGGAAATTTCAAATTTTCCAAAAGAAACATTTGTTCTGTCTCCTACAAGAATATTTTTAGTGAACTCATATTTTGAGAAGAAAAAAGATGATTATGAGGATGTTTTGCAATGTGTGTACTGCACATGAATCTTAATAGAAAATTCACCTCAATTCAAAACATGTTTGTAGTATTCACTCATGTAAAAATTTGAATGTAGTGGTATTCTAAACCCCAAGTTACTACCATCAAGGAACTCAAATGAATAGAGAATATAAGCATGTACAGCCAACAATACTACAATGTAAAAAGATTTTATGGTAGAAGAAAACTTTGAGCAAGTCCTTGAAAACTGAAGAATACCTATTAGTAGAAGGTGGAAAGAGAAAAACATGCTTCAGGTAAAAGGACTGATAGGGGCAAAGGTGCATGGCTTCAGGCTTGGGTAGGGCAGATTCTTGCAGTGGGTGCCTGGGAAATATGGAGCAGGATGTAGGAAAAGGAGAGGAGTCTGGAAAGCAAGGGTAAGTTGAGTTTTTAAGATTTTATCATGTGAGCAAGAAGGAGTCATAGATGTTTTTATAAATGTGTGTTTGAGAAAAATAATTAAGTTTGCTCTTCTTCTTTTTTTTTTTTTACAATTTAATATTACTGTATTTCCTTGTAAGAGGAACGTTTCAACAAATTTTACAGGTGTCAATCAACAATTGTTCAAATTGGGCACATATCAAATCTAGCATCGTGAGTGTTTTATTTATTTGCAAGTGAATTTTAATCGTTACAAATGTTAATATACTACACAAAACATCCACAGGAACTTTTTTCCTCTTTTTTTGAATTGTATACAAACACTTCCTACATAATCCAATATACAACAGAGAAATGGTACATCTTTTTCTTTCAATTTACATACAATGGAAAAACAAGTATATATATATATCTATTTTACAAAGTGTAATAAGACACTAGAGCAAGTTGACAGTTTATAATTGAGAAATTATCTAATAAAAATATCAATTTTTTTCAGCATCAGTCACTTCCATAACCAAGTGTTATTCTGATTAATAAAACTTGCTGCCAATCAGAATTCTGGTATATACTCATACCATTACTCAACTTGTAGTACTGCTCCCCACTTTAGTTCTTCACAACCACTAACATAGAAAATTGTTGAAAAGTAGGGGCAAGCATTTGCAAAATCAAACAAAAAATCGCCAGCTTATTGTAAGCATGAACATGTATGATGGAATTTCTTCCCAGCAGTAGGCTTTCAAACCATCAAGAAATCACCAGAACTAAGTTTGCCAAGTTATTTTGCCTATGTCCAAGAGGAGATGCACTTATATATCCAACAGAGGAGCTGAAAATCAAACTTAGTGTTCAGTTTCGGGATGAGGTGGGAAATTCAGCCACAATTTTAAAATGACTGTCTTTAAAAAAATGACCACCAAAAATAGGTTCACTAAATTTATTTTAAAAATCATAAAATGTTTCTTTAAAAAGAGCATTACATCCTGCCCACTGCTCTGAACAGATGCCAGGGACATGTGGACTATTGTTACTTTTCCTCCCTGTCCCACTCCCAAATGTTACAGTGGCCACAAAACAAGGTGTCTGCAATAATTACATGGGGGAAAGTTTTTTAAAATCACCAACAAAAACAAAAAATAAAATCCATTCACTCTGCTGCTGTTTCAAAATTTCAAAGTTAGTTTTTGCACGCCCTTCCCCCCAACCCTATTTGTAAGGAACTAAAACATTACATCTGGTGAACAGCAAAGATTTCACTACACCTCAAATGCAGAACACTGACGAAGCAGAGGAATGTTGGCTTTTTAAACCGAAGCAGATTAAAAAAAAAAAAAAAGATGCAGGACTCCTTCAGTTCTTCACTAATCTTAGAAAAACTTTCTGGAGTACTGCTTCACATTGTTCTGCATCTAATACTGTGCATTCTGTATCTGGTCCTGTGTTCCTGTAACGGTAATGATCCGATTTTCGGATCCTTTTAAAGGCTCATCAGTTTTGATCATAGCCCCCAACTCATGATGGGTTTAATCTGCTGACCACTTTTGCCAATAATAGATCCAGTCAATTCTTTGGGAATAGTTACTTGTATAGTAATAATAGGTCCACCAAGATCACCATATGAGCCACGACCCCCTGCATGGGAATAATCACATCTGGAGCCCCCCTGTGGTTCATAAGCCATCTGCCATTCTGATGGGCTCCATGTATCTATTGTACAGTTCCAAGTTTCATCAGGACTGAAACCAACCATGCCATTGTAACAGTCTTTAGGTCTCCCTCTTCTGTCACAGGCCATTAGGTCTCCCCACTCTAGGTGGTGGTGGTGGTGGAGGAAGAGGAAGATTCCAAGCTCTGCTACCACCCCGGCCATCTCATCCAGGAGGAGGAGGAGGTGATCCTCGACGAGGGCTCATATCTCTTCTAGATGGAGGCATGGGACCCTGACCAGGAGGCATTCTGTCAAAACCACCTCTTCCCCACATCGGAAATCCCACTGGGCATCCAGGGTGGTCATCAAACATCATTGCAAAACCACCATAATCATAGGTTTCATTGTAAAAATTGGGATCATAAGGCTGTACAGGTCCTTTGATGGGAGACTCAGATATAAGATCAAGGATGATCTTTATGCACTCTACAACCCTATTCGGTTTTCCTCCAATAAGAACAACTCTGTCAGTGGGATGAGAACAGCATTCCTAGAAAAGCTTGATGGTTGTTTGAGTGTTCTCTCAAAGTTCTTTGATTTTAGCACCTTTGACCCCAACATTCCTCCTGCTAGACTCTGATGAATCAACAGCCTCAACTCACAGTCAAAGTCACTTCCTTTATAGTGTTGGTAATTTAAGCACTCAACAGCATCAGATTCCAGCGGGAGCTGGCTGGTTGCAGTGAGTAATGGCAACTTCATGTCCTCTTCCAAGTTAGGGATGATTTGATTCAGAATTTCTCCAATTGTTTCAATATCAGCACTGATACTCAGTATGCACTCGGGGCCACTGCTGTCTGAGACTGAAACACTAGCACTGTAGTCCGTACAGAGAGCCTCGATATTCTTGCCTCCTTCTCCAATCACTGCCCCAGCAATCTTGCTCTGAAGCAGAATGCGTAATTCAACTATCTCATCAGTGTTTCTAGATCTTTCCATGTTTGTTCCTATTCCATTTCTTCTGCAGGGCATTTACCAAATTCACCATTGGTTTCAGTGTTAGGGAAGGTTTCTTCTGGCTGTACAGTTTCCACTTGTATTAAAGGGACACACCAAGCTATAGGCCACGAATAAGTGGGACACAGGCCGAGTTTGCTCCTTTAAGGAAAATTAAAATAGACTCTAGTGATGATTATGAGTGTGGGGGCAAAGGACAGGTATTGAAATTTTCACACAAAACTCGTGTAAAAATGAGTGACTTCTTGATATCTCTGTAATAGGATAACCTATAAGTTCTATTGTCCAAATCGTAACACTTTTTAGAATAAAAGGTGGGTACTTTAAAAAATAATGCTGGGACAACAATCCTAAAGTGGGAGTGTCCCAGACAAATTGAGAGGTAGGGTCCCACTATAGTTTATTAAATTTCCTTTAGTTGAAAGCAAACAAGCAAACAAACCTTGATTTGGAAATTACAATTCAGACTCAACCAAATAAAAGTCCTTTTGGTTTAAAATAGTTATCATGAGATGAATATTCAGGCAATTTTAAACTCAAAGAATAAGAGCTAACACTGTGAGTTAGGCACTGTGGTAAGCACTCCACACCTATTAAGTCATTTAATCTTCATACAAAAACTATGAGGTAGGTATTAATATGACTATTTGCCCCACTTTATAGCTGAAGAAATGGAGAGGCTGTGTTTAGTGGAAGGTCCAAGGTTAACTGGTGACCCAGCCGAGCCAAGATTCCAATCCAGGTTTTTTGGTGCCAGCTGATGTCCTAGTCCATGCTACATTGCCTCTCACACTCTAAGCTTCAGCTCACTTGCCTCCTAAATTTGAATTTCAGATGAACAATCATTTTTTTTTTTTTTTTTTTAGTACAAATGTGTCCTATGCAATGTTTGGGACAAGGCCCCTCCTTCTTCTTGGTTGCCAAAGGAGCTTACTTATCCTCAGCATGGTTGAGCGCTGAGCGTGGGTGTGGGCTTCTGATCTCTATGTCTCAGCCAGTACCCGTGGCGCTGAAGTGTTCTTTTTGGTTGTGTAACTCACAGCCTGTTCTCACAGCCTAGTCTCCCAGCAGAGCCCATCATTTCTCAAGCCAGAATCAGCTCTGCCTCTACTCCTGGTTATGCTGCAGATGCCTAGTCTCAGCCTCATCTCTTATCTGCCTAGAAATATTCATATGAATATTTTTGAATGTTTGCATATTCATATGAATATTATGAACATTAAGGACTATCTTAAGAATATTTAAGAATAGGCCGGGTGCAGTGGCTCAGCCTGTAATCCCAGCACTTTTGGAGGCCAAGGTGGGTGGATCATGAGGTCAAGAGATCGAGACCATCCTGGCCAACATGGTGAACCCCCATCTCTACTAAAAATACAAAAATTAGCTGGGTGTAGTGGCGGGTGCCTGTAGTCCCAGTTACTCTGGAGGCTGAGGCAGGAGAATCGCTTGAACCTGGGAGGTGGGGGTTGCAGTGAACTGAGACTGCACCACTGCACTCCAGCCTGGTGACAGAGTGAGACTTCATCTTAAAAATGAAAAGAACAAAAAACAAAAAATCAAGAATATTTAAGAATAGACCTAATAAACCTGATTTGGGCTAGAAGAAAAGCCTCAACTCAAATGGGAAAGAGTTTTTTGTTTGCCTATGTTTGTGAGTAAGTAAAGCAAAATTCCACCATAGCACTTGCTCACTCATTATAGCTCCCAAATGAATTCTATCATATGTTAGAGACGTCCTGTAAGGAAGAATTTGATGAGTTGTTAGCAATGACTGAAAAAATAACAAACTAAGCAGCTCGTCATTCTGCTATAATTTTCCATTGACTCCCTTCATTGTCTGCCACCTAAGAAGAAATCTTCTTACCTTACCACCCACAAAGCAGGCAAGCAGCTGAGGTACAGCCTAAGGATTCTAGGTTCCAACTCCAGCTCTATGCACCATTTTCGTAGCCTTAGTTTCCATGTTTCTAATACTGGAATAATAACACCTGCCACACAAAGTGTTTTTGACGTTCAAATGAAAAGTGGTAAGTAAAACATAAAATATAGTAACTGTAAACCAAGGGTAACTTCAAAGCTCATCTTATACCTCATTGTCCATGTAGTGGGTTGAATAGTGCCCACCCCCCCAAGAAAGATATGCCCACCTGGAACTTGCTACTGTGAACTTATTTGGAAACAGAATCTTCATAAAACCTACAAATATCTTGAGATGATATCATTCTGGATTTAGGGTGGGCCCTAAGCGGAATGAGTATGCACTTACAAGGAAGTATGCTTATAAGAGAAAGGCAGAAGGAGATTTGAGACACAGAGACACAGGGGAGAAGGCCATGTGGAGACAGAGGCAGAGATTGGAGGTATGCTGGTACAGGCCAAAGAACACCTAGAATCACCAGAAGCTAGAAGGGGCAAGGAAGGATTCTCCACTCGAGCCTTTGGAGAGGCTCTGCTGACACCTTGATTTTGGACTTCTAGCCCCCAGAACTGTAAAGGAATCAATTTCTGTTTTTAGCCAACAGAAACATTAGTTGCGGTAATTTGTTATGATAGTCTTAGGAAACTAATACAGCTTACTGCCAACCCATCAGTAAACCATGACAGCTCCATCTTCAAAATACATCCAGACCGTGTGCCACCTCTACCTCCATTAGGGACACTAAGCCACCATCATCTCGTTACTGGTCATCCTGCATTCATCCTCACATGCCCTGCAGTCACACAGCAATCAGAGTGTGATCAGAAATTGATGTCAAATCTTGTCAGTCCTCTGCTCGAAACCCTCCACGTGCTTCTCATTTCTCTCAGAATGTAACCAAAGGCTTTCTCATGACCTACAAGGCTAGACACGATCTGGCCCCACTCCCTGTCATCTCTTCTTTATCACTCTCATAGTCCTGCTTCCTTGTTGCTCCGCGCACGTGCCGAGCACACTCCCTCCTTGAGTCTTTGCATGCTCTTCTTTCTGTCCGGATAAGCACAGGTCTGCTGCATTACACATCTCTGCTCACATCTCACCTCTTCAGAGAAGCCTTGCCCCTTCATCCTATCTGAAGTGGTCTACTCCAATTACTGTCAATATTACATCACTCTTTGTTGACTCCTCAAAGTGTACATCACAAACAGTACTTACTTTATTTTCCTGTTCCTACCCTCTCTCCTATTATAAAGAACACTCCCTAGGTATCAAGACCTTGTCTGTCTTGTTCATTACTGCATTTCCAGTACCAATGCTCAGCTCATTGCAGCCACTAATAAATATTTGCTGAAAAGATGGAGAAACCAACATACCTTATAGCTATTAAGGGTGTTCACCGGAGAGGATGAAGATGGTATCTGTTTTTAGCACCACCCCAAACAGCACGTTCTGGACAATAACCTGGATCTCCACCTACACACAGTCTTAGAGGATAGGAGTCACCACCAAAGAAAACCACCCATGGTAGTTGCACAGTGAGATCGGAAGTCAGAGTATTGCTACACAGTATTAACTTTTCAGTGAGGTGTTTTAGAATGCTTACAACTGTCAAGTTCAAGAGAGAGATTAATGTTAAATCTATAAATGAGTTCCTGAAAAAAAAATTGAGAACAACAAAAACAATTTTTTATATCTTTAATGAAAAACAGTTTAAAAAATGTTTTCCGACGGGTGCAGTGGCTCACGCCTCCCAGCACTTTGGGAGGCTGAGGCGGGCAGATCACGCGGTCAGGAGTTCGAGACCAGCCTGGCCAACATGGTGAAACCCCGTGTCTACTAAAAGTACAAAAATTAACTGGGTGTGGTGGCGTGCACCTGTAATCCCAGCTACTCGGGAGGCTAAGGCAGGATAATCGAGCTGAGATGGCACCATTGCACTCCAGCCTGGGCGACAGGGCGAGACTCCGTCTCAAAAAAAAAAAAAAAGTTTAAGAAGTTCTCATATGCTCTATTTTATTTGACTCTGTCACCTGCCTGAGTCAGGGATGGTGGACAGTGTTATTCTCACTTTTCAGGTAGAAATATGGAGACTTATGGAGACTAAGTGACCTGTACAAGGTCAGACAACTGCACAACTGGCATTAAAGTAGTCTCAGACTCAAATCAAGACTTCTGATTTGAAGTTCCTTATTTTCCTCTATTGTACTCCATTAATTAATTTATTTAATGTACATTATTGAACACCAACTATTTCAGGTACTGTGTTAGGTGCAGCATATAATGATATGAAAGTTGATAATCTGTCTGCTATTTTACAATTTAAAAAAAGTGCATACACGTACTTGGGGGAAAAATCAGTATAGTAACTGCTACTCTTCTCCCCTCTCCCTATTCTCCTAATCCCTCTCTCCTGATATAATCACTGTTATCTGGAAATCTTTGGCTATACAGGCTAAGTCCCCTGTATCTGCAGCGAGGTCCTTCCTGGAGGTGCTGACTGGACTAGATGACCTTGGTTAGATGACGACCAACTAGATGACCTTGGCTAACTCATCTCTATCCCTTGGGCGGCTGTGACACAGGATGAGTGAGCTACGCCTGGTAAAAAGAGTGCCACTCTCGTGTAAGGGGGCTGCGAAGCAGAAAGGAGGTCAGCCCTTTGGAGAATGTCTCTACAGGGTGTGGACAGAACCATGTCTCGGTGGTTAGGAAGGTCTGGGTACCTAAGTTTAACTTGCCGCGGCCGGGCCGGGTTCACAGCGCGTGGGACAGGCCGGGCGTGGCGACGAGGGGCGGAGCGACGGGGCGCGGGCGGGGCGGCGCTGCGCGGTACGGCGCGCGGCCGACGTGGCAGCCGCAGGAGCATGCGCCGCCGGTGGCCATCTTGTAGGCGGGGACGCGTCGAGGTGAGCTCCAGTGCACACCTTCGCTGTCTGCTTCAAGCTGTAGTTCTGCGTCCCGACCTGCCTAACATACCCGACTCTTCAGCGACCACGCAGACATTTTCCCGGTCCCCAGGTGAGCGCCAGGTGGCTGCGACGCGCGTGTATGAGGCGGGTGGCATGGCATGGCATGGCATGGCTTGCAGGAGCCAGAGCCAGACCCCGAGAG